ACCTCCTCCTCTCCCGTTTCACACACCCATTCACACACTCACCCGTTTCACACACCTGTTTCACTCCTCCGTTTCATTAGATCAGAGTTTGATTTTCCACTTCATCATCCTTTGTCAATTTCTTCTTTCTTCTTCTTTCTCTCTCCTCCCTTCTTCTTCTTCTTCTTTTCTCTATTCTGCTGATCTGGGTTCAAATACCTGATGGCTTCTCGCAAGGGAGAACTCGATCAAATACCTGATGGCTTCTCGCAAGGGAAAACTTGATCTGGGTTCAAAAGTGCTTTGGGTCCTTGGATCTAGATCTAGGTTGTTTGATGTTTATTTTGATTGTTATAAGTTTGGATTTTTGATCCCTTTGTAAATTTCGTAATTAATTTCAGTTTGGTATGTGAGAAATAAAGAGGAAAGGAAGCAATTAAGGATTGGATTTTATATTTGGTTAAATCTCCATTTTGGTCCCTGAACTATTGTACAGACCCCCTATTTGGTCCCTAAACTAAAGAAATCCCTGATTTAGTCCTTAAACTATCGTACAGACCCCGATTTGGTCCCACTGTTTATAATTTGGCCTAAGTTGGTCCTTGAACTATTGTACGGACCCCCAATTTGGTCCTTACTGTTTACAATTTCGCCCCAATTTGGTCCCTGAGCTATTATTTAATAGAAAGACCAAGTTGGGGTTAAATTGGTAAACAATAGGGACTAAATTAGGCATCCGTATAATAGTTTAGGGACTAACTTGGGAGTCTGTACAATAGTTTAGGGACCAACTCAAGGATCCGTACAATAGTTTAAGGACCAAATTAGAGATTTCTTTAGTTCAGGGACCAAATCGAGGTCCGTACAATAGTTCAGGGACCAAAATAGGGGTTTAACCTTTATATTTTTCCAGTTCGAATTTGGCAATCTATAAAAGAGGTAACGTTTTGGGCTTGGTCAATGTGAGAAATAGAGAAGAAAGGAAGCAATTGGGTTGTTTGAGAATGGATTCCTTAGGGAGGAATATTGGAGGTAAGGATGGTGGAAGTTTTGGGCTTGGTCGATATTGGTGCAGGGTTCTGATTGAGCCTAGATTTGCTGTCATTTAGGCGAGAGAAATGAAAACTATTAGATGTAGGGGATATACTGGGGAAGGGGATGAACTAGGGAAGTTGACGGGGAAGAGATATGGGAGGAACGAAGGAGGAATGGTGGAGGAGGGAGAAGGTTAGAGAAAGAGAAAGGGAAATGAATTTGCAGCAAACAAGAGGGAAAAAAAAACAAGAAGAAGAAGAAGAATGGGATTAAGGAGTAAGGAAGAAGAAGATTACTTTTGGAAATTTTCATAATTTAATTAATTAATTAATTATGAATGGAATCTTAAGATTAAAATGTCACGTGTAAAAAAGTGCCATCTCAGCACACTTTATACATGTGTTTTTTAAATTATTATTCTTTTAAAGAAAGGGAAATTTTTTTGGCAACATAACATGTCATTTGTTCATTTAACTGATAAAAAGATTATTTTGATACAAAAAAAAAAATTTAAGAGTAATTTTAATATTTTTAAAATTTAGAGATAATTTTAATATTAAAATAATAAATTGAGAGATAAAAATGATATTTTAACCTTAAACTAAAGGTCGTGTTCAACTGGTGGCATTTTTATAATTTTGCTTCATATTTCGTGGTCTTTTCAATCAGTTTGCTACAGTAACCCTCCCATCCCCTCAAACAGTTCCCTTTTTTTTGCCATTTTTACCCTTTACTCTTTCTTTCTCCCTTTCTCCCATACATTATAATAAGGTTAAATGCTAAATTTGGTCCCTCAACTTTAGTGAGTTGCACATTTTTGGTCCTTCAACAATTTTTTGCATTTTTTTAATCTCTCAACTATACAAAATGCACTCCGTTAATCCTTCTGTCAATTTTCGCTGTTAACTTGGCCACATGGCATTTTTTATATTTTTTATTGATGACATGGCAAAAATAACTTAAAAAGACGCTGATTTGGACTTTTTTTGTGACATGTCATCTTTCTTTCTCATCTTCACTCTCTGCAAAATCAATCTCCACTCCATCTGCAGAATCAATCTTAACCCATTTCTTCTTCTTCTCTAAATGCTCTCTCATCTCCACTCCTTTACAAAACCGATCTTAACCCATTTCTTCTTCTTCTCTTCTCTCAAGAGAACTTGAGAAATTGAACCCAGCTACTGGGTTTCTCCACTCCATCTACAAAATCAATCTCCACTCCATCTGCAGAATCAATCTCCACTCCATCTGCAAAATCAATCTTAACCCATTTCTTCTTCTTCTCTAAATGCTCTAATCAATCAAACTCTCAAATTTATTAATCAAACAATATCAATCAAACTCTAATCAAATTCCAACAAAAATACAATCAAATTATAAATCAACTCTCAAATTTATTAACAACTGGAAATGAAAATCGAAAGAAGAATGAAAAAACATGAATCCATCATCAAAACAGCAAAACTGGCTTCATCGGAACCCAGCTGGGTCTCGTCGAACCCAGCAGCTGGGTTCGGGGAAACCCAGCAAGGCTGGGTTCGACGAGACCCAGCAAGGTTCGTCAGAACCCAACCTTGCTGGGTTCGGGGAAACCTAGCTAGACGAACCCAACCTGCTGGGTTCCGACGAGACCTAG